ATCATTATTATCATTTGCAAATTTGGCTAACGTTTCACATAATGTTTGATTGAAACGTTCAACAAGTCTATTTGTTTATGAATGGTATGCAGTTGATAGTTTGTGCTTTACTCCTAGTTCATCGCATAAAGAATTTAATATTTCATTTACAAAATGCATTCCTCAATCAGTAAGAAGTTCCTTTGGGCAGCCATGTCTACAAATGATATTTTTATAGAAGAAAGAAACAACTGACTTTGCTTTTGCATCTGATATTGCTCTTGCCTCTGACCACTTCGTTAAATATTCAGTTGCGACAACTATGTATTTATTTTTTCTTTTCATTTTTGGTAAAGGTCTAACAATGTCCATTCCAATTTGATCAAAGGGTTGTCCAACTTTAATAGGATGTAGAGGTTCCGTTCGCTTATTTTTGCCTCATCGCTGACAGGCGTCACATGTTTGAACATATTGTCACACGCCTTCATACATCTGAGGCCAGTAATATCTAATTTTTACTCTCCTATAAATTTCTTTAAAGGCAAAATGTCCTGCTAAAGGGTCCTATGTAAATTATACAGGATGTCATTAGCTTCATATTTGTGAACTACTTTGAGAGATCATTGTAGTTCCTGTTTATTTTGCTTGTATAATTGACTATTGATTACAATAAAATATTGTGCTTTGCGTTTCATCACTGCTTGTTGTTTATTGTCAAAATGTGTTAGCATAGAAAGTTTCGTTAAGTATTGAATTAAACCAAAATATGTATCTGAGTCTATTATTTCCGTTAAAATCAAAAAGCCATTATCAAAAGAGATGTCCGTTAAATTTTTGTCCCATTAGTTGTAAAAATAGATAAGTCCTTAGTGTTGTATCTGACTTAATGTATCTATGTTTGTATGTGATTTTCCTGGGCGATTAAGTATTTCCATGTTATATCTGTTCAAAGTCATAAGCCAACATCCAAGTTTGCCAACTGGGTTTTTCATATTTTTGAGATATACTAAAGCAGTATGATCAGTTACAACAACAAATTTTCATCTATGTAAGTAATAATGAAAATATTTGATAGACCAAATTACAGCGAGACATTTTAACTCAGTAATCGAATAGTTTTGTTTATGTTTGTTAAGAGTTCTGCTAACATAAGCTATTACTCGTTCCTTTTTATCATCTCCTTTTTGAGATAGAATAGCTCTAAGAGCATAAGTAGAAGCATTGATATATAAAACATATGGTTTATCAAGGTCAGGATATGCTAAGATGAGAGGGGAAGTTAAACAATCCTTTAAATTTTCAAATGCTTTTGTTGGTCAGTCGTTCAGCGATAAGAAACATTCTTTTTGAGAAGTCTATTCAGAGGTTCAACAATGGTAGAGAATCCTTTTATAAATTTTCTATAATAAGAGGCAAGTGTAATGAATCCTCTCAACTGAGTCAAGTTCTTTAAAATAGGGAATCCTTTGATTGTGATAACTTTTTCAGGATCAGTTTGTATGCCTTTATATCTGATTACATATCCTAGAACAGGAAGTTTCTTCTCAAAGAAAAAGCATTTTTCTGGACTTAACTTTAATCCAGATTATCGCAGACGTAGAAAAACTTGTTCCAAATGAAGAAGATGTTCATCAAACGTTTTGGATCTGATATTGATATCATCCACATATACGACTACGTTTTGCCAAAAAATATCTCTTAAAACTGTATCCATTAATCTTTGAAAGGTTGTAGAAGCGTTGCATAAGCCAAAAGGCATAACTGTGAACTCAAAGGTTCCGAATCTTGTGATAAAGGTTGTTTTCTCCTGATTCTTTTCTTCTATCTCTACTTGCCAGAATCTACTTGACAAGTCCAAGGACGTAAACCACTGAGAACCTGTTAATGTATCTAACATATCATAGATCCTTGGGAGAGGATAATTATCCTTTTTTGTTACATTATTCATCTTCCTGTAATCTACACATAAACGTTTTTTACCATTTTTCTTTTCTACGACAACTACTAGAGATGTTCATTAACTTTTTGATAGTTAGATTAGTCTTGAGTCTAATAGCCTTTGAATTTCCTGTTTAATAAACTCCTGGTTTTGAAATGAAGTCCTATAGAACCTTTGCTTAATTAGAAAAGCATCACCTGTATCAATATTATGCTTTATTACAGAGGTTTTTCCAAACTGATTTTCCTTTCAAATGAAAAGATCTTTATATTGTTTCATAAAATCTTTGAACTTCTCTTGTTGCTCATTTGTAAGTTCACCAGTATGATAATTTCCTTCGTCAAGTTCCTTATATTAGTAATAAGATTCTTTTGACGTTTCTTTTTCCTTTGTATTTCCTTTTAACTCAGCATAAATTAAGCTTGCTTCTTCTTCTGAAATTTCTTCAGAATAACAAAATAATTCATCCTGTTTCTCTTCTTCCGTTTCATATTCATCATCAGTTTCATTCACTTCAGATTTCTCATTGTCTTCCCTTGTCTTCTCAATATTTTGTTACGATAAATTTCTATGTTCAACTAGAATATGTATTTCTTTTCCTTTCCAGTGAATCGTCATAAGTTTACTTCTATAGTTTATTTCAGCATAAGTCTTTTTCAGCCAGTCATTTCCAACTATTGCATTATAAGTATTTGATTCAGTCATAATAGCATTAAAGGGAATAATCTGTCCTATTATTCATAAAGGTAGGTCAAGTATCATACTAACTGGCTTTCGACATTCATCGTTAACATTTACCATTACTGTTCCAGAAGCTTTATCAACTTCTCTTCTTAATCTTCTCAAGAATTGTAAGGAAATAATGCATTCTGAGGAACTAGAGTCAACTATCAAAGCAAACTCCATATTATTAATTGTTGCTTGACAATACAAAGCAGTTGATTTTTGATTTGTAACATAATGCATTTTCTGAGATGCAAGCAACTCATCATTTTCTTCAACTACTTCTTCGTCTTCCATATCTATAGGTTTAGCTCCTGAGGGTCCTGCAGTTGTATTTTCCTCCTGATTATTATTTTCCTGAGTAGCTGGTCCTTTCCCTTTATTGGTTTTGCGAGTAACTGGTTTCCTCAATGATCTCATTATACTTTGAGTAAACTTAGAATTGGCAGCGAGTAATTGTCTAATGGAAATATTGGCAGGTTGATCAAAAAGGTCCTGTGCAGTATAGGGATTTATCATGTTAACAATGGGTGGTTATGCTAGGGGTTTCTTCTTTGCTTTTGGTTTTTGTTGAGCTCTTTTCTTTGCTAAGTCTTTTTGTTTTCATTCTATTTCTCTAATTAAATCTTCCTCATTATCATTAACTTGACTTCTCTTATTGGCATAGATTTCAAAAATAGAAAGATTTGAGGGACTTTCAAATGGTTTCGTACCTTCACCCTCGAGAGATGCACCATTTAGTTTAAATGCTGATTTTGATCATTGTTGTTTTCCTATTCCAATAATTGAGTCAGTAATTACATAGCTTGGTGAACGTTCATCGTATTATTATTTTGATTGATATTATTATTTGTAGGAATATTATTAGTTAAGTTAGCTATAACTGTGTTTACTGGATTTAAATTATTTTGCACTGATAGATTATTGATGGTTACATTATTATTCAGGTTGTTTAAATCATTTACTATTCTTGTTAGGCAACTTCGTCTGATATGTCCAGGTTGTTCATAATCAAAGCATATTATGGGTCCTGATTGATTATTTTGTGGAGATCAATTTTGTTGATTATTATTTTGCTGATTGTTCTGTTGCTGATAATTATTTTGACGATATCCTGAATTGTATTTTCTTCCTCTAATATTCATTTGTTGTATTTGTTAAGACAGGTTGGCAATGGCTGCATTCAAGGCATTGAGTTGTTTTGCATTTCCTGATAGGTTAGCATATTTAATCATATATGCTTCTACTGTATTAGTATCTTTGTATGTAAGTTCATATTATTTAGCTTGATTGAGTGTATCATTCCAAGTTTGATCATTAAAAGGTTTCACTAACAAATGTAATTTAGGTAATAATCTACTGACAAGTCGTCTAGCTTTTATTGCATTAGGATATTGAAAGGCCTGTGTTTCCACTCTTCGATATAATTCCAATAAAGTACAAGCATAGTCATTCACAGATTCATCAGGTTGTTGTTAACACCTTTTCAATTCAGTTGTCCAGATTTCTATCAATGTCTGGGACCTGAAAGCGGCAGAAAAGTTTTAGATAAAGTTGGTATTATTATTATTTCCTGTCCATGCAACAATGCGATTGGCATTTTCATTATTCAATGCTTGGTTGGCAGTCTACCAAGTAGAAGCTGAATTTTTCAAGTATGCTGGAACAACTTCAATTTTTCTGTTATCATTGATGTCATTTGCATTGCAGGCATGTGTAAACTTCTCAAGCTATCTAATAGGATCTTGGTTGCCTCTATAAAAGTAAGATAAGTCAACGACACGTGTCTCTCTTCATTGAGAATTACCATTAATTGCTTGAGCATTAGCTTACAGGTTATTGATTAGTTGAAAAACTCTGTTGTTTGCTGCTGGTTGTCCTTGTAAAGCGAACAATCCAGTCAATCCTTGAACTGCTGTGGTAAGATTTTGAATGTTCTGTTGGTTAACTATATTTCTTGAATTTAAAATAATAAGTCGAGGTTGAAATCTTCTTCGTCCAATAGGTCAGGTGTATTAGAACGAGTTGAAACAGGTGGTATATTAGATAAAGAAGTAGTTGTTTGAGTATTTGTGGATTGGGCTGTTTTGCTTATTTGATATAAAACTTCAAATGGGTTACGCTGAAAACTGTTGGTTAAGATTAATGCATTATATATGTCTTGTCGAATAGTAATGTAAGAACCTGGTTTTGTGTGTATCTAATACTAAGAATTAGAATTTTAATTCATCCTAAAATAGAATCAGTTTGCGTGCTATTTATTAACCATTCTAACTGTTTTTTGGTATTCGAAGTAAAAGTCAATACAGAGAATTCAATAGAGAACCAATACCAAAAGTTAATGAATTAAGAGGTACTTGCAACAGAGTATTCAGGGTAGCAAATGAGGTAAGAAGAATCAAAAGAATATTGTGTGAAGTTAATTATCCTTAGAGTGTGTAATCGACTGTGAAATTGTTGTCTTTGTATTAATAGATCAAAATTAACCATGT